AACAAACACACAAACACTTTTGCTCCCTGAGTCAGGCCCAGTTTGTTTATTTAAATAGTTCCTACTGCCCTTTGGCAATTTAATATTTCCCAATATAAAAAAAATCTGGAATATTAGTGTAAAATGCTGTTTACAGAATAAGGATTTCGGGTAGGACACACAGCCCTTATGGTGGTACTTAAGTAAAAGGTATGTAATGTATGTATGTAATGCCCTAATTTAGACATACAATCTGTTTATCTGCACCACTGCCAAATCTGTTGTGAGAGCATGACCTTCGTCTTACATCCTAAGCATCTAGTTTCTTAGTGCACAGCAGGCACTAAATAAGCTCTTGCTGCAGACATGAGTTTAAAGGTTTTGATCAACTGGGCCTCCAAGAATAGGATGAATGCAAAGAGGGTTTCTAGCAAGAGGAAAGTGGTAAGAGGGCAAACCAGAAGGTATATTTATACAACAGCAAATGCTCGAGTCTGTGAGGCAGGAGGTGAAAAAGCGAGAAGGCGGATAACTCAAGGAAATGCCTTCTTAGGAATCCTAGGCCCAGCTGTGTGGTAGTAGCTCATGCCTGTAATCCCAGCACGAGGCAGGCAGAGCTTGGTCTGTAGAGTAGGTTCCAGGGCAGCCAGGGCTACATAGAGAAACCCTGTCTAAAACAAAACAACCCAAAACACAATCCTAGACCTAACAGACACGGGAAGCTAAGACAGGACTGTTGTGAGTTCTAGGCTAGTCTGCACTACATGTTGCAGACCAACCTGTCTCAAAAAAAAAAAGAGAAAAAAATCCTGGGGTGGGGGGAGGTGGTCCAAATTCATTTTTTCCAATAAACCTTTTTTTGCTCATTAATATCCAATTTCTAGCCTAAATGTAATGAGCCATTAACACACACACACACAGGATCTTGTATCTCAGGCTAGCCTTAAATATTATTCAGACAAAGGTGACCCTGAATTTCTGATCCTCCTGCCTCACTAAAAGTGCTGGGATTACAGATTACAGGTGTGTGCCACCATGCCTGGCTTTTACAACTCAATTTTTAATAAGATTTTTTATATTCTAGACATATACTAAGCAGTTTCTATGTATTTAGCTCATTTAATCTTCTGTATTGTCCCAGTTTATAAAAGAATGGGTTCTGTGAAATAATCAGCTTGGTAGTAAATACAAAAGGAAAAGGCCACAGCAAACAAAGAATAGGAACAAGAATTTCCTAGTCTACATAGAACAGAAGAAAGATGGCTGATTTTGATTTTAGCCACATTGAATTTGACAGGGCATTCTGATGATAATATGCTCAATAACAAGGTAAGTGCTCCCTGCACACCAAGCATAGTTCCAAACTTTCGGGGACCTCCCATCCATTGCATTTTGAATAAAATTCAGGGTTGCTAACATGGCCTGCAAGATCCAGCTCCTGACCGCTGCTTATGCCATATATTATGTTACACCTGCTTATCTCATGACTCCTCTCTTTAGCAGAGTCTGTGAAGCAAACATTTTCTCATTTACTCAGAACTATTCGAGGTAGGAAAAAGTATACCCAATTTATTAATAGAGCAAGACTTCTGTTGGGAAGACCTGAAAGCTAGATATCTTGTTACTCTGTGACAAAACACCATGGCCAAGGAAACTTAGAAAAGAAAGCCTTTAATTTCATTTACAGTTTCAGGTGGATAAGAGTTCGTGATGGTAGAGCAAAGGCGTGGTACCATCAACAGCTGAGAGATCACATCTTGATCCAAAGCAGGAGGCCGAGAAGGGCACACTGTGAATGCCAGGAGTCTTTTGAAACATTTAAGACTGCACATCTTCAGGCTTCAGGCAAGCGTTGTTTGTATCCTTTGCAAAGAGCATCACTGACTGGAGCCAAATATTCAACCTTAGGAGCCAGTGAGGTTATTCTCATTCAAACTACCACACCGGAGACAGCTAATTTTCTAGTCTATACAGAACTAAAGCCGAAGTACGACTGCATGGGATTTCCCAAGCCAATTCCCTGACAGTTAATTTTGTGTATCGACTGGACTATGAGATCCAAGATACTTGAGTTTGTGTCTGGACAGTGTGTTTGTGGGCCTCCTGTAACCCAGTAAAGCCCTGAACATACTAGAAACCTTGGGTTCTTTCTCCTCTTCACTTGATTCTTTGACCTGGGGCACTAGCCCTCCGTTCCCAGACTGACTGAAATCACAGCTCAGTTTTATTGCCCTTGTTTGGAATGGAATCCTACCGTGCAGTTTGCTGACTGCAGATGTTGGGCTTCTTAGTCTCTATGATCATGTGAACTATTTCTTTATAGTAAACCTTACTGTTCCCACTTCTGCCAACTGTTTCTGACTCTGGAGAACATCATTTCTTGGGAGACGCCAGGTAAATACTATTCGTCAGTGAGCTGGACTGTTTTATGTCGACTTGGCACAAGCTAGGGTGATGTGAGAGGAGGGAACCTTAATTAAAATTAAAATGCCTCCATGAGAACAGGTTGCAGTCAGGCCTATAAGGCGTTTCTTGATATTAGTGATTGTGGGAGAGGGCCCAGTCCATTGTGGGTGGGGCCATCCCTGGGGTAGTCCTGGATTCTATTAAGAAAGCAGACTGATTTTGGTAAGTGATATTTATCCAGAAAGTTGTACATTTCCTTTACTTTTTCCAATGTTGTGAAGTACAGGTTTTCAAAATATGACCTGATGATTCTCTGTATTTTCTCTGTGTCTGTTGTTATGTCCCCCTTTTCATTTATAATTTTGTTAGTTTGGATATTCTCTTTCTGCCTTTTGGTTAGTTTGGATAAAGGTTTGTCTATTTTGTTGATTTTCTGGAAGAACCAACTCTTTGTCTCATTGATTCTTTGGATTATTTTTTTTTGTTTCTATTTTGTTGATTTCAGCTCTCACTTAGATTATTTCCTGCCATCTAGTTCTCTTAGGTGAGTTTGCTTCTTTTTGTTCTAAAGTTTTCAAATGTTCTGTTAATTCACTAGTGTGGGGGTTTTCCAGCTTCTTTATGTAGGCATTTAGTGCTATGAACTTTTCTTTTAACACTGTTTTCATTGTGTCTCATAAATTTGGGTATGTTGTGTGCTCATTTTCATTGAATTTTAGGAAGTCTTTAATTTCTCCCTTTATTTCTTCCTTGACCCATTGATGATTCAGGTGAGCATTGTTTAATTTCCATGTGTTTGTGGGTTTTCTGGAATTAGTATTGCTGTTGACTTCTAGTTTTAAACCATAGTGATCTGATAGGATACATTGGGTTATTCCAACTTTTTTGTATTTGTTGAGGTGTGTTTTGTTACTGAGTATGTGGTCAATTTTTGAGAAGGTTCCATGAGGTGCTGAGAAGAAGGTATATTCTTTTCTGTTTGGATGGAATCTTCTTCTTCTTCTTCTTCTTCTTCTTCTTCTTCTTCTTCTTCTTCTTCTTCTTCTTCTTCTTCTTCTTCTCCTCCTCCTCCTCCTCCTCCTCCTCCTCCTCCTCCTCCTCCTCCTCCTTCTTCTTTTGTATCCAGTGTTCTGCCTACATGTGTGCCTGCAGGCCAGAAGAGGGCAACAGATCTCATTACAGATGGTTGTGAGCCACTGTGTGGTTGCTGGGAATTGAACTCAGGACCTCTGGAAGAGCAGTCAGTGCTCTTAACAGCTGAGCCATCTCTCCAGCCCCCTGGATGGAATATTCTATATCAGTGTGGCGATTTCTCAGAAAATTAGGAAACAACCTTTCTCAAGACCCAGTAATGCCACTTTTGGGTATATACCCAAAGGATGTTCAATCGTGCCACAAGGACATGTGCTCAACTATGTTCATAGCAGCATTGTTTGTCACAGCCAGAACATGGAAACAACCTAAATGCCCCTCAACTGAAAAATGGATAAGGAAAATGTGGTATATTTACACAATGGAGTACTACACAGCAGAAAAAAATAATGACATCTTGAATTTTGCAGGAAAATGGATGGATCTAGAAAACATTATTTTGAGTGAGGCAACCCAGACACAGAAAGACAATTATCACATGTACTCACTCAAAAGTGGTTTTTAAACATAAAGCAAAGAAAACCAACCTACAAACCACAATCCCAGAGAACTTAGACAACAATGAGGACACTAAGAGAGACTTACATAGATCTAATCTACATGGGAAGTAGAAAAAGACAAAATCTCCTGAGTAAATTGGGAGCATGGGGACCTTGGGGGAGGGGAGAGACAGGGAGGGGAGCAGAGAAAAATGTAGAGCTCAATAAAAATCAATAAAAAAAGAAAAAAAGCAGACCGAACAAGCCAGAAGGCAGTACCCCTCTATGGCTTTTGTATCAGTTCCTGCCTCCAGGTTCCTGCCCTGCTTGAGTTCCTGTCCTGACTTCCTTTGATGATAAACAGTGATATGGAAGTGTAAGCCAAATAAACCAAATAAACTTGGTCATGGTGTTTCATTGCAGCAATAGAAACCCTAATAGCAATAGAAACTAAGACACTTAGTTCTGACGATTCACTAGGACTCAAATGATTCAACATTTTCCTGTGATCATGTTTATTATAGTAAAAGGAGAATTAACAAAAGAAAATGGTGTCTGGGAGAAAAAGAAACAAGACACATTCAGGATTCTCCTTCAGTCAGGTCACATAGAATGTACTCATCTTCTGCAGCATTGAGTTGTGATGACACTTATGAAACATCTTCAGTCAGAGCTCACTGGACACTCAGTGCCTAGGGGAGGCCAATCACAGGAGTACTTGCTACCAACAAATGTCAAACTTCCAGGCTCCCAGAAGCGAGCAAAGCAGAAGTCTGATTGTTTGTTCTCTACGGGAACAGTGATCTACTCATGATTTATGAAATGGTAGGAAGTCTCCTGAAATATTAACTTCCCAAATGCCAGTCATTCGGAGGCCAACACTGTAAGTCTATTATTATTATTAATTATTGTTATTATTTTCAAGATAGGGTTTCTCTGCATAGCCCTGGTTGTCCTGGGACTCGCTCTGTAGACCACGTTGGCCTGGAACTCAAGATACCTGCCTGCCTCTGCTTCCTGAGTGTTGTGAGCAATGGTGTGTGCCACTACCTCTGGTTTTGTGAGCCAAAATTTTAAAGGTAAGGACTAAACAAGGACAAAGAAAGGTTTGGATACCTTTCTTAACCCGGTAATGTACTAAACTGAATCCCACTCTCAAGTTATCTGACAGTAGAACAACAGTAGTAAGGAATTACAGTAAATTCTTGCCAAAGAGCTTGAGGGCCAGGAGTTAAAAGGTTAGAAGCTGAGAAACTAATCATATGCTTAAAGACTCTGTAAGCCTCATTAAGTCCATGGGTGTGGGTGCCGAAATGTTAACTAATATCCCAGATACCTTAACAATTCTTTCTTCTGATTAATAAGAATGATTCATGAGTTTTTTTGTTTGGCTTTTCTTTTTTTGGTTGAGGGGTAGGGTCTGACTTTAACCCACATTTGTTCAAATTCACAACAGTGCTCCTTGGTTCAGCATGTGAGATTCTAAGTGTGAGTTGCTGTGCACAACAGTAAGAAGTATCCTTAACCCTTAACCACAATCTTGCAAAAACAGCATTAGCCACATTTTATAGTTTCAGAAACAAATTCTAAGAGGTTAACTTGCTCAGAATTTCAAGACTTAAAATGCAAAGTTGAGATTCTAAGCAAACCAGCATCACCTACTATTCCACTATCCCTCAACATTTTGTATTAAGATGGTTATATAAATGGTGTGTCTGAAGGGGCTCATCTCCGAGGGCTTCAGTCCTCTGAACCTAAAGATGACTGTTGCACTCCATCTCAGTCTAGTCCCAGGGCTCCAGACAGAGCTGTCAGCACCAAGATCAACTTCATTTCTTGTGACTAAATCAGAGCTTTGCTTTAAAAGACCTTGAAAACAGTTCATGAATGGTTCACTAAAAACATTTTCTAGGGTACGTGTTTATCACAGAGCTCTCTGAAAAATATTCCTCTTCCCCTGGGTTTTGCCTTCTGAGTGTTTATTTGATTTTTACCACCAGCACCACATAGATGCATAATCTTTCCCATGGGTGCATTTGCTGAGCATCCTCCCAAACTAAGCCACCCTACTGCAAGCATTTTAAATCAAAAAGTATTGGAGCTGGACTTTAAGAAGATGAGAAGCCCCTTGTTTAAAAAGCAAGCACACAAACAAGCAAAAAGTACAGATTTCAAGATTAAACACCTCACACTTTGGCTTAAAATACACATTGGTTTAAAATCTGGAATGTTGGTGCAGGGAGATCAAAGGCACTTGCTTGTTGACTTTTGTTTTCTTTAATATGGAAGGTGGAGCAAAGGAAGGAAATTGGACTGGAATGTTGAATTATTGGGATAATTTTCTAGGACTCGGACTTAATCATTTTTTTTTCCAAAATGCAGCAAGAAAAAAGTTTCATTAAAATTACTATAAGTATATATTTTTCATGGGAAGCATTTGAAATTAAAGTAATTAGGTTCAAAACAGCAATTAAAATGGGACCTGAAGCCCCAAATTAGTAAGCATACTATTTAGTTAATGAGCACAAAAGAGCACACAGCAGACTGAATTTACTGAAGATCTTTGTGTTTGTTACTAGGGACAAAACCCAGGTACCCCAGTGAAGAATAAACTTTTCTCAGAGGGCAACATCTTCAGCTCTAACATTGCCATTTGTGGCCCAATAAAAAAACAAAAGACCCTCCCAGTTCTGGAAGAATTGTTTCTCTTATAACCTGGTCTTGAGACTTTCTGAGGAACTTTGGACAAGTGTTTCAAAATTCTAGACGGTTCCCTGTGTCCGTCCTTCTCTCCCCTCCCCCTCTCCCGCCCCCAGTAGGTTTGAGATGCCACTAGGAGGATTTTCTCCTTGGTTTACTCCAACCACTTTTGACCAGTGATGGAAAACGTCTACTCTGTGGGCTGGCTGGAAGGCTGGCCTGAGTTGATCTCAAGTTACACCGCCTTTTCTCCTCCCTCAGGAAGTAAAGTCCACCGGCAGGAGTGCCTGCCCTGTTAGACTACAAAAGCCTGCTTGTTTTCATCAAGCAGTGGAATGAAAAACCTTCGGGGAAAAAATAGTAACATTTTAGGAAAAGTAACTTTTTTTCCCCTCCACAATTTTCTTGTCTAAAGAGGATTCATCTGAAGAACACATCCTTAAAGGTAAGGTAAAAATGAACTGGGTGTTGGGTTGGTCTTCTCAGGGGCCTTGGAATAACTGGAATTTCTCTGTCTAGCCTAATCATCTAACAGATGTCACACACATGCACACACCCTTGGTTATCTTTCTGTCCAGCCTAATCGTCTAACATGTTACACACACACACACACACACACACACCAGCCTGCTTTAACAATGGGATATAGGGATAACACCCATTCCTCAAAACACATACATTCTCTTCTCACTCTTTCTCAATATATAGGTATTCACTTACTCAAGTCTGTTTGAAGGTAGCATACTATGACATTCTAATACCTAGCATCTCTCTCCTAAGGTGGAGACTAGTCTCCCACAGATTATTCATAAGTTCACTATAACACCCAGAATATTTAACCTCTCTACAGTACCCTCTATTTCAGTTCATTCATACTTCCCAAGTGGGCTTACCAATTTTTTTGCCTGATCTAGTATCCAGTTAAGAAAGAGATAATGTACTTTGTTGGGGTATCTAGTTCTTTAAAATACCTAATGTCATATAAAGGGACTGTGTAAACTCAAGGTCCCGCTCCCATTTATTTGACTTTAAAGTCAAGAACTGGCCTGCAGAACTGGAAGGGTAACATACGGCTTCCTCAAGAACTGCCTGTAGGTGGTGGAGATTCTGATCTCAAGTAGAGTAGCCATTATAATCCCAGAACAACTGCTTTTATACCACAGAGAAAATAAAATAAAATTTAAAAGTTTAGCCACACACACCTATAATCCCAGCTTTCAGGAGAAGGCAGGACTGCCATGAGTTCTAGGCTAGCCAGAGTTACAAAGTATGACCAGATCTTAAAAACAGCTGGGGAGAGAGAGAGAGAGAGAGAGAGAGAGAGAGAGAGAGAGAGAGAGAGA